ATACAATATTTATATTTTTTAAGTGATTGAAAACATTACAGTAGTTTTTCTATGAGAAATTCAGGTTCGAATTTGATCTTGGTTTATATATAATGGTTAATTAGAGTCTAGACTTCATTCTCTCTCTATCATTTACAGTAGCATACCTCATTGGAGAGATCAGACTCACTCATTATACACAACTTGAGGATGTCCTTACGCTAATTTCTTTTGAACAGGCAAAATTATAATACAAAATAGCTTTTCATTATCATTTTAAATAATTTTTATTTAATTTAAATTGTTCTATTAAATTTTATTATTTATTTTTGTTTAACAGACAAGAATAAAAAGAAAATTTCCGGTTTTGGTATGTAATTCTAGAATTATTATTTTACTAAATTATTAAAAAATAAAATAATATCTGTAGAATTATATAGAATTTGTTATGTTTGAATATGTATTTATATTTAAAAATATGATACTAAATAAAAAAATTGCTATGTAAGATCACATGAAAACAATTGCGATGAATGACTTAAAATTTTATATTTAAATTTTTATGCTTAAAACAAAATATATAAATTAGCCTACCGCTACGAGGAATCCGTAAATGGATCCAGTTCATACCAAGCTAATTTACACTATACACTATGGATGTGTCAGACAGTATCGGGAGTTACAGGACAGTAACGTAATTGTAGTTGGCTACAAAGTCCCCAGTATGTTAGTATATTGTGTTTAATTAATTAATCAGATTTTAATTCGATTAAAAGTCAGGTTTTTCAAAAAATACGAAAACTTTTCATTTATGTAAAAATATGGTATCCACCAGTGGCCTAGTGGATAAAAATCACCGAACACGATCGTGGGTTTGCGTCTGGCCAGCGGGCTGGCCACGCGGTGTTTTCCGAATTTTCTTCACGTTATTAATACCTAAATAGGGGCCAGTTTCCCATAGGAAGTCCTCCTGAGAGGCATCTCCTCTCTGCAGATTGCCCACGTGTCGCTTTACACATAAACACGTAAATCAAACTAAAAACGTGACTTAGTTACCTATGCTGGTTGACGTCACTGTATTTATAATCTATTCATAACGGGTGAAATTCTACATTGATTAAAAAGTAGTAAATAACCACATATGCCTTCTGGCCTTATTGTTATAATTATCAGACTTATCGCACACCGATTTCTTTAACACTTAATATTTCGGCTTTTTTAATAGCCCTCCCGAGCCAGGTTACAATAAATACACTTTGACTATAAGGTATTATAATTATAATATATAAAAGGAGCCAATAAAACACAATACTCACATAACCCCATTTACATTATACAACTGTAATATACTGTACATTACAACATTATAAAAAGCCTGAATAAAATTAATGTGACTGAAAGCTTATATTGAATTCTAAATCGATCTTATACCCTTAATGTGATGGTATTTTACATTAAAAATACAGTCATCACATGATCACAGGTGATGTAAAGGTCTCACACTTAGCTGGGTTAATGGGGTAAGGTAACGTTGGATACTTCACAGGAGTACTTTTATGAGAAAGTGACCTCTATTTACGTGTTAGGCACGTGAAAAAAACCAGAATAATTCCACGAGACCAGTGCTCGAACCCATAACTAGTGTTATCCATTCGATCATAGGCAAGCCTCTTACACATGGCATCACGTTGTTAAGATTTCACGCGTGTTAAATACTGTTTAATATTCAAAAGATGCTAATTTCCATTATTATTTTTTTGTACAAAAACAAAATAAAATTTCTCAATTCACCGTAAAAGCAAATGAAGATAATTAAGGTATTGTTATTTCAAGAAGAATTCTCGCAGTTTATCTACATAGTTGTAATAGCTTTTAATTGTTCCAAGTAAAAAATAATAACTTTAATCATGAAGATAAAGAATATTTTGTAATTAAAATTTAGTAGAGAAGATGAAATGCCAAAGTATAAATTAATTACGATACTTTTTGATAATTTATTATTAAATGTTAAAGTAATAAATTTCAATTTCAATTAATAAAAAATACTTAATAATAAATAATAAATGTTAAAAAATATAAATAAGAATTTTGCCTTAAAAAAAGTAAAAAAAAAGAAGGAAAAAATTTTTAATAGTTGCAGTTTCCTTCCCATAGATGGCAGCTTCTGCGGAAATTCCGGAACTAGCAATAATAGAATAGCGCATTCTTTCGAGCCACCTATCTGACATATTTAGTCCACCTTTGTTATTTTCTTTACTAAAATATTACATATCGTGTATTTTATATCATAATCATATAGTTTTAGTGTTTTCTTTTTATATAAAATATAAATAAATACTCATTTTAAACTATAAACTGCAATATTTAGTAAGTAGAAAGGATTAAATATGGCGGCAAGTGTCTATGATGCAATTATTTCTATATCAAAGTATTTTAAAAGATATTCTCAATAATATCACTTTATACAGCTTTTAAATAAAAATTTATAAAATTTAAAACATTTCTTCCACAGGAAAGAAGTGTTACAACATTCATTGCGAAGAAGAAGCTAGATATAAATGTCAAGATTGCGGACGTGTTTCTTATTGCAGCATTAGGTGCATGCGAAACGATCAACCAGTCCATAAAAAACATTGCACAAGTAAGTATATACAATTTACCTAATCTTAGAAACAATTTTTTAAAGAAGAAAACAGTAAATTTTACGTTGCCGCTTCTTCTTTGACCATGACATCTTATGAGTGCCATTTCTTTTCATGGCTTCACAAAGAACCACCTTGGCGTATATGATAATGGGAATTGTGTTTTGAATAATAATTTAACAAGGAAAACATACGAGAAGAGGATAAATTATAGTTTTCACAAGGTGAAAAGTGTATTTTCCTTATGCAGCTTCAAGAGCCGCTATCCAAATGGAGANATTCGTTAAATAATAGTAAAAAATCAATACTTTTCCGTGTGAATCAGGCAAAATTGGTTTATCAAAGTCAAATTTTACTAGGCAATTTTATCCAGTGGAGGGGTCGAGGAACAATTTTTTGAAAATTTGTCAAATGGATCAAATTCTTTAAAGAGTATAAATGAAGTAACAGATGTTTTAGATCTTTTTTGTTGTGAATGAAGACGTTATTTTAACATAAATTCAACTTACTTTATTGAAAGAACCTTCACACCCTCGGGTTGTAGATAGAATTTTGTAATTTTTTTGACATTTTTTATGTATAAAAAAGCTTTATCGATTAGTTTTATCACTAATGTACTGCAAGAAAGCTTTTAAAGTAAAACTTTTTGATAATTTAACACCATTTTTTTTTT